TAGGAGAAATACCCTTTCAGAGTGAGAATAGTTCTGTCTGCTGGTCCATCCTGTTCCCAGTGATTTTCATAGAAACAGCTTGATCCGTGCTCGACTGCAGGTTTTCCCCATGACAGCACAGTTTTACAAAATATAGAACAGAGATATAAGGATGGATTGGATTCAGCTTTTACTGAGGTTTGTGCAGGCTTGTTATTGCTTCATTAGGAGATGAGTCAAATCCTTTGATTTTTTTTTTTTTCTCTCTGGTCTGATTTCAGAGTCACTGAGTCACTGAGAAAATTGAAGGAGCAGCAGACACGAAGCTGTGCACGTAAAATGTAGCAATCCTTTTCATGACTCCTAAACCAATAAATACGCGGCCGTGAGCCTGTGTCAGATACACCAATCCGTGCTGAAGTTCCTGGTGGCATATGTAAGCCTCGTAGAGACCAGGTTTCTCTATTTGAAAGAAATATGCTAAGAGCATGTCGAGGTGCACTTTCTGGATTCCTCAGGGCTTTCTAATTTTAAGAAATATTTTGTTGCTGTTTCACATGAAGTTCTTTCGAGTTGAAAAAAAAATTCAATAGCTCCTGATTCCCTGTACTGCCAATTTTAAGAGAAACTCCAGCAAGAAATTTCTAGTCAAAACTAGAGAAGGACAGAAGTACGTTCCCCAGAAGATTGCAATAGTGTGGCAGTCGCGAGGCATCTTGAAGCTGGAAAAGCAAACCCAGATAGATGTTCTACATAGTTCAGACCAGAGGGATAAAATTGTTTCTCCACCTTCCCGTGAGAGTTCCTTAGTCTCTGAACTGCTGTTCTACCACTGTGCTTCTACTGAAAACATTTGGAAGATCTCCTTTTGTTTTACTGTCAACAGAAGCCTTTTGGAAGTTTAAAAGGTTTACAGGACAAGGCATCATATCCTGTCCAGCTCCCTAATCATTCTGCTTTCTGGTTATGAGCATCCTTGGCAGTTTGGTTCCAGACATATTATTTCCCTCTGCAGCAGAGTTCTCTGTGAGCACAGCTCTTTGCTGAATGCTTGGATTTAGTTTCTAGAACTTAGTCCCATGCTAGCTAAGAATGACTGCTTCCCCCATCACTTTCAGAACTAAGTACAAAGTTTATTTTTTTTAATTCAGCTGTACTTGAATAAATGTTTCTCATGTGCATAGAGCCATCCTACTGCAAATTCACACATGCCGATATAAACAAAAAAGCGTAAACTAGCAAAACCCACATGCATTTAAATGTTTTTCTCTGCAGCTTCTAAGAGGAAGAAAAAAAATATTCTTTCCATCTTCACAGTATGTGAACTTCTGGCATCACTGATCTCAATGGCCTTAGATTTTACCATGGAAAGGAGATGTAAAACTTGAGCTCAAGACAGCTATTTTAAAAGTATCAGTATATAAATATAAAGTGCATAGTTGCTGCTGGGCTTTTTAATATTGATGATTTTTCCACTGATGTGAACAGTTATGAAAAAATATTTCTCCTCCATTAGGTATTGCTTGGTTAATTACATAGTCATGAGAGCAGAGGCTATGTGTGATTTTAATGAGGGTATGGTACAGAAATGAATGGAAACTAATTCTTTAAAGCAAGAATTTTCTGAGTTATAAGGTATTTATTTATTCCCTTGATTCGTTATTACTTGAGCTGTTCCCAGGAATGTGATTTCAGTAGTGACTAACATGTTTCAGATATTTCCTGTGGGAATGAGGTATCGGGGATCTCTGGTCAAGGGCTGTGATATCTCCCTCTTTCAGGACTCAGTGTTGGTCTGGAGCAGTGTGGTGCATTGAACATGATACCACCTGACAGGTCATTGCTGTTCTCTAATCACTCTTCCCTGGACAATTATTTTCTCTGAGTTTCCTTTGTTAGGAGGATGGACAGAAGCTAAGGATGAAACTTAGCATGTCTCCCTTAGTACTTTCTCATCTTTACAACTCCTTCCCATTTTGCAGTCAGGGCACGCTAGTAAAGGGTATGTTAGAAAGTTGTTTGCCATACCTGTTCTGTTTATTTAGTGGTAAACTGATGGCATGTAAATGTCCAGAAAAGATAATTTTAGGGCTGTGAAGGCTTAAAATTTTATTGCAATTCTTCCAGTGATGGGAAAATGGATAGGTTTTTGTGTTTGGGTTTTGCCTCCTAAATCCTACTCCTCCTTTAAATAAATAAATCAAAATTTCTGTTCTCATTTAAAATCATATATTATGAGCTTAATATGCACTGACTTTTAAAAACTTGTGTTTTTAAATTAGTTGGTGTTTTTAATGACCTGGAGTGGCATTTTTACAGAAATGCCTGGCAAGATCTTCCCAGAATATGTTCATCACATTGTGATTACATTCGGTATTGTCTTCTATCTGATTTAAGACTATTTGCATGAATCTGCAATAGTAAGATTGCAGTTCTACTGTGTTTTACGTTATGCTTATTTGGTAGGGTCTTCAGTTTGCTTTTAGGGTTGAATTTCTTCACTTTGGGGTGTGTGCCTTTAGAACAATTTACATGTTTGCAAATGTATTCTGTTTCCAGTTATCTTTACAGTGTTTGCAGTAAGCTTTCAACTTCTCTACTGGTACTGTTCTCTACATCTAGAAATATTTATTGTAATAGTTTTATGCTGGTACAACGGAGGAAATTCTAGTTATAGTCCAGGAGAAACTTTAGAGGTTTTGTTTTGGTTATTTTAGAAGACTGTTAGCTCTCCATATTTTCTAGATACAAACCAAAAGTGGATTCAAACTGTGCTGCTTACTGATAACATTTACTGTGTTTGGGTATTAGCTTTGTAGTTTTTTTCAAGTCTAAGTAGCATTTATTACCTTGCCTTTGCTTATGATGCCAAAAGAAGATAATACAAAATGATGACATTCAGCTGAATAAGAAGTAATGGCCAGTAGAGATTGCTGAATAAAAAATATTAATAGCTCAGACATTGAGTAAGGTTGAATTGTTCAAGGTTGGATGGGGCTTTGGGCAACCTGGAAGATGTCTCTGCCCATGGCAGGGGGATTGGAACTACATGATCTTTAAAGTCCCTTCTGACCCAAACTGTTCTGTGATTCTGTGAAATAGGACTGTTTTTCTTTTTAGTCAGTCTCTTTGGTAGAGAATTGCTTCTTTATAACATCCATCCTTGACAAGGTGATGGTCAAATTAATTGATCAAATGTCTTGTCTTCTAGTAGTATGAGTATATTTAAGATCAAGGTTGAAATCAGTAATTTGTTATTGTCTGCCAACCCTTATTTATTGCTTACTGCCAACAACATACCTATGTAGAAAAATCAAGGTATGAGTTTTGACATAAGAGTTTGTTTTGACTTGTATATCTCCAGAACAATGATGATAGGAATGAAGACCCAAGCATGACTTGCTTAAGTAAGAGCCAGAAACCGACTAAGTCCCTGGTTTTACTGGTGGATGCTGCACCCAAAATAGGAGTTTAACTATTGTCAAGGGCTGCAGTGTGTACTGTACAGATAATACAGAAGTTATAGTAGCTCATGTAAAGAACATTTTCAGAGCTGTACAGACTTCTACAGATAGAAAAGGAAGCTTTGCATCCCTACTGCATGAGTCTTTCTGTGGTACAGTCGTATCTTTGTTTTGCAGTGTCGGGGTACCATAAAGGCTGACAGGAGGGTGGGGCACTTGCTAAGATGCTTTTAACTGAACGGGTACAAGTATTCATCACATTGTAAAATTCTAAGTTTATTCTTCATTATCTCATTCTTTCCTGCTGCTGCTTGTGTTAGGGCTTCAACCTGCAAAAGCACTTATTCTTAAGTCAGTGGTAAGCTGAAGATGCTGAAAGAAAAAATGCACTGACAAGAGAAGCAAGATCATGGTGGTCGTTTCATTGTTTTTTCAAATGTCTGTGGGCTTCCACTCACTGGGAAAATTATTATTCTTTTCCTGCTGGTTTTCCAGAATAGTTAATGGAAGCCCACAGGAACTCTTTCTGTCCTGTTGCGTTATGAGCTGTCATTGTAACAACTGAAGTGCTGCCCTCTTCTAAAATCTGAAGTACTTAAAAGGCCTACCTGGCTGCAACTTAAGCTACCAGTGGTTCCTCAATGTTTATAATGTTTAAGAGTGCAGATACATGTAAAGAGTGGAAGCCCATTGGCAAGACCATGCTTGCCCTTAGGAGTAGCAATCAGATTGAGAGGAAGTGTGGAAAATAAAAATTAGAGCTCCGTCTAGCAGCCATAAAATAACTGATATTGCATCAATAGTTGACAAACATATACTACTAAGAGGTATTAAAACTGCGTGTCCTTGTGCCTCGCATCATCTTTCTGCTTACTTCGTTGGGGGGGTTATCCTCTGGAGGATGAGGAGTGGAGAGAAACCGTGCATGTGGTTACACTTTTAGAATTACTGCAATCTGTCTCTCTTGTCGCACTCCTTGAGGGCAGAAAATGAGTTGTAAATGAGGTCGGGCTATTTATGCTTTATGTCAATTTAAGGAAGTTAAGTAGTGAACCAAACTAATGTTGTCCTTAACTTGAATATGTTTATCTCCTCATTAAGAGGAGTTTAGTTATGACTATTAAGGAAGTGGAAAGTGTTTTCTTGTAGGATGTGTAGAAAACGTGTGAAGAGTCTGTAATTTAGTTGTAGGAAAACACTTTTTTTTTTTTAATGAATGAAGGTAAATCAAGTACTTCGATGAATTTAAAAAGTCTAAGAACAACAACTAAATATTCCATACTTCATGACTGATGAAATAAGAGTAAGTTATGAGATTACCTGGAAAACTGCCATGATCCGAGTTCCATTATACTTAAAAGGTGATAGCTAACAACTGAAAAGATGTCACCAGCTATGGTAGGCAGAAGATAATGCGCAGAGTGTGCAAGTCCATTTACTAGTGATTTTTTTTTTTTTTTTACTTTTCTGATAACAAATGAAGTTTTTTTTATTTGTGTGTTTTTACATATAAAATATGTATGCTTTTGGTAATAACCATTTTTGCCCCTTTTCCAGAGTCAAGATGAGAGATATGCTTTCATTGCTGAATGGTACGACCCAAATGCTTCACTCTTTCGACGTTATGAACTTCTGTACTATCCAAAAGATGGATCAGTTGAAATGGTAAGAATGAAAGAAAAAAAAAATCTTTTTTCATAACTGTAATATCCAATTAAACATTTCATAAAACAGCAAGCCACTACCTATGCCTATTAATTTTCCATGTAAGAAAATATTATTTAAAATGTATCTTGCTCTGTTTCTAAAACTAAAAGGAAAGTAAAAATACTAGTTCACAGCAAAGCATGTGGAATAGCACTCGTGCTTATGTTTTTTTTCTTTCTTAAAGCTTGCTTTTGTGTGGAGAGAATAATTTGCACAAATCTATTTTCATTCAATCTCTACTTGGGTTTCAGAATTGAAGCTCAGCAACACTGACCTACTACTTGAGAAGAAATAACTGAAACTAATTCCAAACAGGGGAATAAGCTTCATCAGGAATTTCAGAAATCTCTGAAGAGTAAAATGTAAAAGAGTCTAATCAAAGTGGAGGAAATGGCAGATTGCTCTTAATTTGGTTTTAATGAAAAGTAGGACATTTCAGGCAGTGGGATCTAAATTTTTCCATCAGTGGTGTTGCACAGACCTTTCTGACTTGTGATTCATACAACTGATCCCCATTTTTTATTGATAGCAGGTGAAAACAAGCATTTTGCATTAGCAGGCACGTATATAAAAATATAATGTATACTGTAAAGATAATCCTCATAAGCCAACCAATGCTTTGTGCTTCCATTTAGGAATGAGTGAATGGTTTGGACTATTCCAATTTTTAATGAAGACCTAAGAATATAAGAATAGCCTAGATTTGGATATTCACACTTAATAATTTCATTATCAGATTTTAACTTTCCTGCTATAAGTATCAAATGGAAAAATAAGAAGCTAGTGGAACTTGCATTTTCTTAACCTAAACTACTGCTTGCAGAAACCATGATACTCATCTGTATGAGGAGATGCACTTTGCGTTGTTTACTGATAGTTTCTTTAAACAAACTCTATCATAATGTTGTCCCATTTAAGTTAGTTCTTTGTATGATGTCTGTATCTGCACAGTTGTCAAAATGTGAGGATTTTTGTTTTTTCTTTCCCAGAGATGGTTTAATCAGTCAGGAGTTGTAATAATCTTCCTACACAACCGCGTGTGGGCTGCTGAAATTGTTGTTCGTTTCATTTAGACATCTCAAAATCAAGAGCTTTCAAGGTGTTCTTGAACTACTTAATGCCCTGTCTATGGCTTGGTAAACTTCTGTGTTTTGCCAGTGTGCTCTTAGGGGAAGATAGTATGGTATGTACACAGTCACAGGCTGCACGTGTCCAGGACAGAAGTTAAAAATCAAAAATAGATGTGAACACCCTTCGAATATCTCAAAATCACTTTTTGAGTGAGTTTCTGGATAGATGCTACATTTAGAATTCTCTTCTGGAATTTTTTTTAAACTTCTGCAGAATTCAGGGATTCTTTGTTTCTTTAGTACTGCTTAATTCTTCTGCATCTTTTGATATCTTCCTGAGGAGATGACAACCTGCTCTTACCTTTAGCGTGTCTGAGAAGAAGAAAAGTAATAGATATGAGCCAGCTTTTCCCCACTTATGAAAAGGATGTTTTTTCCCCTTTCCCACCTCCCTGACAATAGCTCTCTTTTATCACACACGTCAGCTGAAGCTGGAGCAGAGCTTTTGAAGGCATTTGTTACATGAAATCCTGAGCTTACCTCTTCTTTCTGTCCTGTCTTGCTTCCTGTAAACAAAAATGACAGCGGGAATAATGAGAGAAGTTTTCTACTTGCTTTGCAGCTGGGAAGAAGACAGCATAGATTTTTGTCCAAGGACAGCAAGCAGCTCTTACAGTTAAACTGGATCTCTTGACAGAGGTGCCCCATTCTCTGAGTTTCCATAGTTAATAACTCTCATGGTGAATTCTGAAAACCTGAATAACTTTTCTTGCTACAAAAGATTTCCTAAAAAGAGAGAAGAAATCTTTAAAAAGGACAGATTCTTAGCAGAGAACTATTTTGTTTTGGGTAATTTATTTCTACATGTACATGGGCAGCAGGGGAACAATGCAAACAGTCTTGTATTTCTTCTACTGTGGCTTATCATTCACTTTATAAAAAGATCTTTTAAAGAGATCCAGAATTCCACTCTAAAGAAGAATTCTTTAACACAGGTAGATCCTCTTATTTTCTTCTTCTTGAGAAGAGAGAGACAGTACAAGGTGCTTTTCTAGGAACCATTACTGAAATAACCAAGGAAGTATTCAGATTTTTAGTCGAGGTACTGAAGAATTTGCATATGGCCAAGATAGTTAATACTGTTCTTGCCAAAGTCCAGGAGAAAACAAGTAGCTGAATTCAAATGATATTTTTCTTTAAGCATGTTGTCATTTCATTCCCTGCTGCACTTGAATAGTGAACACTTAGTAGGAGCATGTATGAGGAGCTAAAGACATTTCAGGAGGGAATGATTCTTCCTGATAATCATGCCCTCAGCAGGAGTAAGTATCAAAATAATTTATATTCTCTGATCTGCAAAGTTTTGACTATTCTGAAAAAACTTACATTTTTTTTTTCTACCCTTCTAGCAGAAGAGAACTATATTTACACATTTCAGAACATGGAGTATGTAACTTTGCTCTTAAATTTTTTCCTTCCCTCTAAAATTTTTGGGAATGATATGCTTTCTTTTAATGCAGTTCTAGTTGATGTATCGTTGCAGTGGAGTACAGTACATGTAACTTGAGACAGAAGGGGAAGTTTAGCCTGAGGAGGACAAAACTCTTCTTTTCATTGGATTCCACTTCCCCCGGAAATTGAAGGCATCTGCAATATCTACCTGCGGTGAAGAAACAGTTCAGCAGGTTGCCTTTTGTGCTTTGCCAGCCCACCCAGAAAACTACATGTTAACGTCTGGCTTCTTGCTTGGAATGATGAGATATAAAGCTGAGTGGTCTTGACAGGCTTTTGAGCTTGCAGCTCTAGGCAGTGAGAACATCTCAGCCAAGTGTTGCAATCATCTACGCGTCCCTAATTCTGAGTCCTACGCAGTCAAATAGAGCATGGTATCACTGGAGCGATGCCCTGAAGAGGAGACCTGCCAGGGTGTATCTTGATCATTGTGGTACAAACCATTGGTCTGTGACACAGCGTGGATCTGCTGAGGGAACTCCCAGAGAGACTGGGCAGAGGCATCCACGAGGCACCTGAACCTTTTATCGCAACTTGAATTAGAACAGAAGCAAATTCAAAGATAGCTGTGAACCTGAGACTATTTAAATGGAATACATTTGTAATTGTGGTTTAATCTTCTAAGTTTTCTTGGTATACCTGTAAGTTCAAAGGGTTAGGAATTAAATCAATCAGCGATCAGATTCAGTCCTGCAGTACTGCAGAAATTTCTGAAGGTAACAGTTGAGTTTGCCTATTACTAAATATCTTGCTGTGGTAGATTTTAATATTCTTTTTCCTGCAGTACGATATGAAGAACCGCCGCACCTTTCTGAAGCGCACCCAGTATGAGAGCTTACACCTCGAGGATTTATACGTGGGAAGCAAAATTACTGTTTTTTCCCGTCATCTCTCCATAGTGGACTATGGGAATCCATATACATCTCGCAAGCTTGGGAGCCGCAAAGAGAGGTAAGAAGGGAGGATTTTGAAATCTCCCTTTGTGGTTGGGGTTTCAGAGTAGTTGTTTGCTAGAAATGAGGTAAGTTTTCTGTGCTTATAGTGGGGAGAAAATGTAGCTACAAGTTTGCATGTGGTTCAAAGTGATCTGACATACTGAGAACTGGAGAGAAGCAAAGTGGTCCCTGCTTGTGGGCAAACCCATGACTCCCACAGTTACCTGAGTGTTACCTTCAGGGCCAGCTTCTCCATGGTGTCAACTGCTGGCTCCTCTAGGTCTCTTGGGAGAAAAGAGGGGGACAAGGAGGAAAAGAGTGGTCCTGTTCAGCTTTGTTACTCCCCCAGGGCAGGCAGCAGTAGGATTCTTGTGATTTGTGGATTCTCTTGGGGCAGAATTAATGTGGTAATTCTGATGTGTGCTAGAATTCAAAGGCCTGAACCTTGTGAAGCTGCCACCTGTCTCTCTGGGATCTGTGTAGAAGCACAGAACCTTACCAGTCTGATCTGTGTGAGCAGTAGCAAATGAAAACACTAGAGACCACTCACATTCTCTGTTTTTCCCCACTATGGAGGACTTTTTCTGATAATTTTTTTCAGCATCTCTCAAACTCTGTGTGCACGAGGACAGAAAGTTTAGAGTGAGAATGTCAATAAAAACTACAGGCTTCTTTGTTAAGACAAAGTTTGTTTATAATGGGTGAAGATAAGACTCATCACATATTTTTGGTTTAAAGACTTACTTTGGAAAAGATGTTAAGAGCCCATCCAAAACCAAAAATATCAGGAAGGACTTAATAAAATGACACTAAGATTAAATTTACAAGAAATTTAAATCTGGTTTATTGATAGTACAGGTAATATCTGAATCTGGAAATTAAAAAATCTTGATAATTTACCCCATCTTTTTTTTTAAAGAACACAGAACATTTTCTTAGGTATGATATTCCAGTGAGCCCTATTCACCTACTTGTTCCCTCCTGCTAACTGGGCTTATTTTGAACTCTTTCTGGGGAGTTGTACATAACCAGACATAGAGGAAGAGTTTCAAGTTTTAACACACAACTTTGTCTTAACTGCACAAAAATATTGCTGTGAGAATTCCTGCCTAATATCTTTCCAGAAAGTGTTCTAGTACTTTTTCTCCAAGCTGGGGTTGGACAGGGTGAAAGAGTAGCAAAGGAGGTAGAGAACACCAGGGGATGGATTTTGTATATATGGCTACTTTTGTTGTTCCTCAGTGGAGCCTTGGGTAGATTATATCTTTATATTAATGTGTATTTTCTGCTCTGTCTAAGCTAACATAAGCCCTGCTGCTGATGCAGGGTTTGTGCAGTTATACCAAGAAAAGGCAGCTTATGATAAAATGACATTTATTCCTGTAGGAGGCATTGCTGACTACAGGGCAACACTGTAGTTGTGTCAAATGAAGTGGTCTTGGGAGGGGGCGAATTTTTGTACTGCTCTACAAAAGGAAGAAAGAGCATTTATGACATGTCAGCTGTTTGGAAAACATTTTAGGAATGTCGGCTGAAAGATAACATAGATATGCAAGTGCAGTTACATATTCAGAATAGCCCAGAGGAACATAGTGAAAGGTGCCTTACACAGGCAAGGGATTGTCAAAATCCAATTTCTTCACAGAAGCTTTCACTGAGCAAACAGGGTCATATGAAAAGAGTTTCCTTAGGCAAAACAGTTGCATATGAGTTATTTGTCTTTTTGGCCTGTTCCTAGCAGGTTTTACAGCAGTTATTAGTTAATAGAGATAATAAGATTTCTGCAGGGCTTGATAATGCCTAAAATAATCTGTAGTTGGAGTTCTATTAATAATTTTAAGGTTGTTGTATGAGGCAGAATATTTCCCTGTATTTTTCTTGCCTTTGTGCTGTACAGGACTTTGGCAGTTTAGTTCAACTTTGGAAACATGTTCTTTGGTCACTGAATATGTATGCAGACAGAGGCCTTCGAGGGAGACTGAGGAATGTATATTAAAAAAAAAAAAGACTGTTTTGAATTAGGGACCTTTATTTTTGTCAGTGAAGCAAATGGATGTGACCCTAGGTACGTGAAGTACAAAAGAGATATGTAGAAAAAGGCTAGATTTGCACAGGCCCTTCCTAGAATTAGGCAAGAATTATTAAGACAGTTTTATGGAGTTTCAGTTTCTATAGCTTCTTTTCTTGACAGTATATCATAAGGAAACCATCACAAACAATAACTAAAATGGTTAAGTGAGCATGGGCTTGCTTACAGTGTGCCACAGAAGGAATCACTAGCATGGGACAGCGATTTCTGTTTCTGTAGTGTTTCACTTGTGATCCTGGGTGGTTGTAACCTGAGGTAAACGTTTGTCTGTCTAGTGTGTCCTGTCTAAGTAGACTATACTTAGAGTCAGTATCACTGGTTTTGAAAATGGTGTTAGAAACCTTGTGTGTCAACCAGAAATACTTGTATTCTGTTTTGATTGGGATAGGTTATTCTTAGGCTTCTAGTCATTGACATAATCAGTGTTTCTTCCCCTACAAGACATAAGCCACTGTACATGCAGCAGTCCTATTATTAGAAATAAGTAGATCTCAAAAGCATAGTCACAGCGTGCTCTGTGCATTGTTCCTTTGATCACTTCTCATCTTCTGTTGTTTCAGTACTCATTGCAGTACTGTCTCACAGTCCCTCTGAAAATGTAAGCAAAATAACTTAATTTTCATTTTCTCCTTTGTTCCTAAACACAAAACTGTTTCAAAATCCACTTTGCGGACTGCATCCTGTCAAACCACAAGAAACATATTCCTAATTAAAACTAAAAATAGGGCACATGAATCAAAATCCAATCTCAGAAACAGTCTTCAGCATCCTGAGCTATACTTTTTGTACCCTGCATACGTCTGAGAAGCTCACGCTGACATGTTAACGTTTATATATTAGTGTTAGAGAAAAGGTATTATAAGAGTTGCTCATTGTAGTTTGTATTAATGTGTTCTAGGTAAATTGCTTCATAATGCAGTATTTCTTTACGTATTTGTAGGAATTACAGTATTACTATAAAGGTTGAAAGTAGAAAAGTAAAGGACAATTTATTTCTAGCATTAGCAGTCTATCTCAAATATCCTGTGTAATGACACAGACTCAAAAAAGTGTTCCTCAAGGAAATGCAAATGGCACTGGAGATCTCATTCTAGTGGTTAGATCCTTATTGTTTGTGGGAAATGACAGTGTAGAGAACAACTTATGCCAGGATGCAGGTTTGTGTCATCAGTCAAGCAGGCATCTGCTGCCCCTCCTGGTCCTCAATCACATGGTACACCCTGTCATATGATAAATAATATCACAAAATGAGGTGGAGCTTCTTTGGGGAAGAGGGGGACGGGCTGTAGGCTGCATGGAGTGTGCTGGCAAACTGTTGAATGTTGGTGAGAGGCCAGACTTTGCTGATCTGAAGATAAGGCTAAACCAGCTTTAGTTTGCACTGCAGTGTACTGAGGCATAGTCTTGGTTGTCTACTTTCATGCAGTTCCTGGCCACATCCTTAGTCCATCTGTCTTTTCGTGTCAGACTTCCCAATGGATCTGAGCCTAAGGTGATCTGTGTATATGAACCTCATGATGCTTGAGGAAATCTGTTTGTTTCTGAGCTCTGAAGGTCATCTAGGTCTCTCCCTTAGTTTCAGATGAAATGTCGAATACATTCAAATCTTCCGCGTTACATTTCCTAATCCTAACACCTCCCTTGCTTTGCATTTGTTGTGAAATAGTCTGTCTCTTGCCAAAGCATCTGTCAATCTGGGGTCACTTAAGGTTCAGAGTAAATGTAGTGGAAGTTCATCCCCATTTCCCATATCCTCAGCAAAGGCTGCTTTCTGTGCTATGCTGGTATATAAAATAGGAAAAAAATAATTTTCAATTATTTGTCTTCCATTTAGGGAAGCACTGCAATAAAAAATTGCCTCTTGGGTAGCCTTCTTTATTCAAAACAGTGTAAAAGATGGAAAGTGCTCTTTAGGATTGTCAGAGATGTGGAGTTTCTGTGATACAGGGTTGAATAAATATGTTGGTTTGTAAGCTGAGCACATTTGAAGCTGACTCACCACAAGATGAATGCAAATAGAAAATGCAATTTTACAGACCTTCTCTTTGTGCTTGTTATTTTTGATTAATAATACGTTTAGTGCTGATGGTGTACTGGGTGCTATGCAAAGCTCACTAATAAAACAGTCCTGGCCTTGGGGATGTACAGTATAAAAAGATAATTACCCATAAGACAGGATGTACTTGAAAACAAAGATGTGGGGGAGAGTGTCGAGATTTTTGAATTGATGTCCCTTAGAATATAGCTGTCAGTTAGTATAAGAGATGTGATACCTCCTCTGCCATCCTTTTATTGTGTCTATTAACAGTGTCAGCTATTTGGCATGCACTTTGTATGCCATGGAGTTTTTGTACTGTACCAAGTACAATAGAATCTTCTTCTCACTGAGCACTACAAATATTTAAAAAATAATAATAAAAAAAATCATTTAACTTTGAGTTTTATGGAAGAGGCCCATCATGAAGTAATATTTTTAAACAGGGAATTTTAGCAGCTTGAATTTTATGTGTATAATGATTAATGTTAGATAGAAAGGGAGCTGAGCAGGGAGGGATTAATAAATCAGTTGTGTTCTAACCCAGAGCTGTGAGTGAGGAGCTGTAGAGGTATCCTTTAGCTAAGGAAGAAGTGGTCAAAGTGATTGCTCTGACAGCGAAGTCAGTAAATAATGACTGCTGGTGGAACACTGTGAGCTGGCTTGGACCAGAAAGCCAAGGAAATTATAATGCACAAAGCTCATTCTTATCAGAATAATGTGTTGCACAGGCATTCAAGAACAGCATGGAAATTGATGAGACACTGAGACTAGGATATGTGACTGTGACAGAATTTCTTGCTTTGATGTGATGTTTTTTTGTCTGAATATAAACCCAACATGAACACCAAATGCTCTAAGGAAAATAGTGTTGGCTGTATCTTTCTTTTTTTTTTTTTCCACCAGAACACTGGCTTTGATTAAACCTGATGCAATGCACAAGATTGGAGAATTAATTGATATCATTATTAATTCAGGATTGACAATAACTAAAGCCAAAATGATGCTGCTTTCAAGGTAAGGATTTTTTAAGGTTAACTCTATTGTATCTAAGTATTTTTGCAGTTAAGAATGTTCTCTAAAGCTATTCTGTGTTGTTCCACACATCAAATTTATTCCAGTGAGTAACAGAGGTAAGACTCATCAGTTTCATAATCCTGTAGATTTCTGAGGGTATGTAGAGATTTAAGCGAAGTATCAAAAAGTGCTGTGCAAATGAAGTATGTAATGTCTCTGTAGGAATCCAAGGTAGTTACCTTATCTTTAGCAATTTGGCGGTGTTTACTACTGACGTGTCTATGTCCTCACCTCATGGCTTCCTCATACAGACTGTGTTGCTGACTACAACAGTGTTGTCCTTAAAGTATGTGGTTTGCTTGCTCTCAGTAAATCTGTTGTCTTAATTTGTGCTCTCAGTTTCATGCTTGTTTATGACTGGAAGTCCTAGGCAAAGCAAGTGATCTTCTGATGATGTTGCAGAGTTGGACAGATTTTACTTGCGCATCTTCTTAATCCTCCCAGCCTTCACTGTTCTCCACTTGCCTCATTGAGCCAAAAGATTTAAAAGAAGGCATGCTGCAGAGGAAAGAGAACATGATCATTTTACCTTATGAGACTTTCCTAAAGTTACCGCACTATTTCTCCTTTATTGCTTTGCATATACAATATGTTTTTGAAAAGAAAAGCTATGTCTTACATAATACCATATTTATGTGTTCTTATTGTTTAGCTGTGAAGTCAGGAACAAATTTCCTATACCTCAAAACCTTTTTGGCTTTATGAAATACTGATAAAACAACTATGACTTCTTCCTCATCTCTGCATTCACCTGCTGCAATGTTTGATGATACTGGTCCCAGATCTTCCATTAAACAATTCCAATTCATGAGTTCAACCAAGTTTCTAGTGTTGATTTACAATTCACAGTGTCTTTCAAACCAGCTTTTTTTGTCTTCCTCTCCTGCAATCTGAAAGATGTGATCTGATGAGTTGTTTTGTATGGTGCTTTATTTCAGTGCCTATCTGGGAAGTTGAACTGTTGAGCCAAGTCAGGTGCATTAGAGTTGGCTCATACTGAAGGGAAGAAACCGAGACATGAACTTTTATTGCTTATTTCTATATAAACATTTCTGGTTGTCTTGTATAATTGAAAAGAATTATTAATAAGCACAAGATTGTGCTGTGATACTGAATGTATTTAAATAGTGCCTTGAATATTTTGTGGTTTCTTTGCATACTCTATTTCTTGAGACTGTGCCATTTTAAAATAATAGAACTATGGCTTTGCCAAAGTGTCCTACCCTTAGATTTCTGCAGGCGTTCTTCTTCAAATCAGCATTATCAACTACTGCTTTCTTTAAAGGCATTATTAACAACATTTGTCTGTCAATCACTGTTAAGTAGATTCATACCTTCTGTAAAAGTTGTAGCCAAGATATGAAAGTGTGGGCAGGCACTTGTTTCTCTAGTCTCTTCGTTTAATCATATGTCAGTTCAGTCTATTATACCCATGTGAACACTGTTTTCCATTCCTTAGAAACATAGAACTAATAATGAAATTGAAAAGGATCTAAGTTACACAGCACAACTGCACTTTAATATTTATTTCAATTGAATTTAACTGAGCAGTAGAGCTCAATTTGCTTCAGAAATATATCCCTCAAATACTTCTTTGCATTCAGAAATTATAACGCTCGATCTCTTTGCATACACTTTTCATATTTGCTTTCCAAAATTATTGGGTGAATTAGTTTCAGAAGTGGACTTTCTGGTGAAATAGTGAATTGTAGGCAAAACTTTAGCAGAGTGTATGTTTGAAGCTTGAGATTGCGAGAGTTCCTGTGCCTAGCATAATTTTTGCATCCTGTTTCTGCCTTAGTTAGGAAATGGAAGGAAAGCATATTCACTATATGTTTAATCAAAATCTTGTGGCTTTTTAGTGGCTCATACTTATTCTGAACTGAAAGCAACAAACTGGGAATTAGTCAGATCATTTTAATAAAAAAAGCTGGAGAAAGATGCAACTGTTCAACCATTTATAAATGTTAGGAAAATTAAATTCTTAGGTCCTTCTTGATGTCATTTGTTTGTTCTGGCAATATTTGGTGTAAGTCTGGACTGTAAAGGGGAGAGAGATGTCAAAAGTTCCATTTCAGATGACAGAACTATGCCTTTGTTCATACTTGGAATCTGTTATTTGAAAAATATGCAGGCAGTTTCATGCAGTAAAGGGAGGTGCTCAGAGTGACCAGAAAAAATTAGAAGACTGTTTCTGTAGGTAAAAACAATTTTACAGTTTGGAATCTTTCAGTCCCCTACAGCCCTGCTTTGCTTATGAACTTTGTACCCAGAGTAGAGGCCACCAATATTGCTTCCTCTCACTTGTCAGTCCTCCTGAAGAGCTTGTCCTTCTCCACAAGTTCCAGCTTCAGAAAGTGGCACACACCAGGATTTGGAGCAAGCCATGACTGAGCCTGTGTTCTGAACTGGAATTTTGAAGTTTCAAAATAGCAGGTTTAGAGCTGAAAACCTCCGCGGATTTTTCTAGCTGTTGCCATGCAGAAAAAGCGATTTAGTAAGCAAGAGTTAAACATGAGAAGCAGCTGGGGAAAAAGACAGAGAAAAGAGTAGGTTAGCTGGTTGCAGGGGGTGGTGGGGTGAAAAGCCACAAAGCAGTATGCCCATCAGAGGATGGATGGTGGTATGTACTGTGGTAGTCTCCAAAACATGTATAGTTGAGTAGTGTGGCTGTGGCAATGCAGAGCTTGGAAAGGGCCACCACCCTGTCTGAAAAGGGGTTTTTTTTGATTCCTATGCCTTTATTTGCCTGGCAATGTGAGGAGATCCCTCACTGCAGAAACCCCATTGCTTTGGAAGAAAGCTGAGGGGATGTGCAAGACCAAATTGAGTTTTTAAGTGTGAAAATGTGGGAGAAATCCAGTTTTAATCTGGAGGGCATTGAGCTGCCTATGGGACTTTTAAGGTTTGAGGATACTGTATAGAAACCAGGTTATGCAATATTTTGTTGTGCACCAATGTAATAAAAAGTTAGCCTTGATAAGGAAATGTTCCAGTGAAGCAGATAAATTGTTTGGTTTTGCTTTAAAGTCAAACTTCATTAACCAATATTCCTTCTACAAATGAAAGATGAAAAAAACAGCAAATGGCTTGGCAAGAAGGTGACTCTGCTGCATTGTTTCTCAGCCTGAGAGTGTGGGGACCATCAGTGACCCTGAAATGGGCTTCAGTAATTACTTCCTTCCCAGAGCAGGAGCACAAGGAGTCACCAGCTATACCTGTAGCCAGACAAAATATGACAGAAAATCAAATGTAGTTTCTGTTATTGGGCATGAACACCCAACAAGCTGTCCAGCTTAGGAATACATCACCTGTAGAAACATTCTGATGAATGATAGTTTGTGGTTTTCAGGGGGTATTTTATGTATATATGTGTGTGTATATAGCTACATCTATGTCTTTTTACTTTTCCAGAAAAGAAGCAGCTGATTTCTACGTAGACCATCGAGCAAAACCTTTTTATCAGTAGGTATATCGATTTCAGCTTGACATGTATTAAGCTTATTTATTGAATGCACAGGATTTATTTACTATACTTGTTACCACAGGACCATGGGAAAATCAGAGCTTGTCTTAGTCGAGTGGAGCCCTTTGCATAGTATGCATCCTTTTCATCTTCCTCCAGGGACAGATCCTTATTTCGGCTATTCAGGGTTTTAACCCACACTCTTTGCAGCCTGATGATACCAGGGGAATGTCTTTTGTCTTTCAGAAGTGAAAATACTCCTAGCAAGGCAAAACTTCAAAGCCAAGGGAAGGAGCATCTTCAGGATCAGGGTGGAGCTTGCAGATAATGAGAATTAGGGGGAACACTTAAGCTGTAAGAATCAACTTAGTAGCAAGTACCCCAAGTCATAAGTGACTGGAAGGGTAGTGCATGGGGCAGTTCTAATTGTACTGCTACCTTTGGGCAAAATGTCATAATACCATGATGCTGGACTGCTCCACCTAGCATGAAAGACCTTAGTCTTTCCATAACTGACCAGATTAATGCTTATGACCCAGAGCTTTTGACATTTCTGCTTTCCCTAAAAGTGCCAGCTTTCTTTTCCTCCCTCTGGATTTGGCAGTCTGCCTCTTCTAGGAAGAGGGTGCTTTGTTTTTTTCAGCCATGCTGATGCCTGGGTTTGCACTGACTTGGTCAAAAGACCTGGTTTCAGTACTGTCATGAAATGCCTGAGAATTAGGGTCAGCAGCAGCTCTCCTGAAACAGCAGCTGATTTATTGTGGGTCCAAACTCAAGCCCTTCACAGAGACATGGCCCCAGGCTATGTCTGACCATGTTGGAGGTCAGAGGACAGATGATTTAGAATTGCCTTTTCTTTGCTGAGTAAGCCTGCTTGAATATGTTGATAAATAAGCAGGAATTTTGCCTACAGTGTTATTTCCCAGATGTCTATCTACACTAATGGCAATTGTCTGAGGAACTGAAGCCTTTGTCCACTGTGATGTGCCTGTCTCCCATTATACAGTCCTATTGGCTGCATCTTCTGTATAGGATTTTTCTCTAAATTAAAAATAAATTGTTCCAAACCATTACAAATCAAATAGAAACAAGAATCTTCAAGGCAGTGAAATGTGAAATCTACGACTCATTTATCCTGAATTTTGTTTTACTTACCTTTAAATTCAGATTTAGTTTGCAAGTTCACTAGTCAATGTAAGTCTAGTGAATAATAGGGAAAAATAATAATTCTACTTGTTTGGAAAATTATGGTTTTCATATTAAAGAATTTAATTTTTAAAATACATTTAATATACAAGGATTAGTCTGCACAGTAAGCAGTGTTGTCAAAATTGTTTTTTTCTTGTGTGTATGTAAGTGTAAGCTATTTAACTGTGTCCTAAACAAGCAGTCTCTGACCAACAGAACCTGAGTTCCAATAGCTTTCTGCTGTGTAGTTTCTGTATGTAACTTTTCGTAGTTTTAATATCATTTCTTTGGCAAAGAACTTGTAGTATTTCTCTTCTCTTTTTGCCCGGTGATCACTGCATAAATGATCATTAGGCAGAAGATGGTTGGAGAAGCATACTCATCCACAATTATAATTGTGTAAAGCTCTATTTTTTTAACAAAGTAGTGCAAAAAGCATTGACTCAATGTTCTCCTTTGTTGATTCTTTCCAGACTACACAGTGAAAAGACAGGCTTGTTGGTATTCATGTTTTGTAAAGACATAGAATTATAGTTGTGACACTTTGTTTAGTTTTTAAATAGAATGTTTGGTTTACCAGTTTTGAGTGGTTGTTTTCTATGTGAGTGAGGTGGTCAGGAGAGGAGGCAGGCTGCTTCTGACAATTTCTTCTTCTTGGATTCATCCCATTAAAATCAGTTGATTTCTGCTTATGCCAGAATGTAATAACTCACTTTGTGATTAAGTCCTCTCTTCCACACAAACTTTACAAGTCTTTCCCTTTTCTCCCACTGTGGACTTTGGCTGGGCAAAATCCATGGGAGAGGTCCATGGGACAGTGGAGAAATCTGTCTCAAAAGCAGTGCTGAAGTTCTATCAGTGGGCTACCTACACAGGTCATGTGCGAGAGCCTTGAAATCCTGCTGTGCAGAGGAGACATGCTTAGGAGTCATTCCTGTCAGACGAGTGGTTAGCAGGGTCTCTCTTTCTCTGTTGCTAGGACACCAGTACTGATCATTTACAAATTCTTTTGAAATCTAACATTCTACAAAGTAGCTTGGGTGGGTTTGTGTTATCTGGTTCTTTTTCTATAACCATAATAAGGGAATGTCTGCACATGACCTGGTCTAACCTCCTCCTCAAAGAAAAGTCAACTTCAAAGTTAGATCAGGTTGCTCAGGGCCTTGCAAAGTTGTGTTCCAAGCATCTCCACTGGATCATGTTTTTGTTGGTTTTGATTTGTAGCATGGATCACCATGTGCTGTTTCCATTTTGCAGTGAGCTTCTCCAGTTCATAACGAGTGGTCCCGTTCTTGCTATGGAGATCTTAGGAGATGATGCAGTTAGTAAGTGGAAAGCAATAGTGGGGCCAGCAAACCCTGCAGCAACTGAAAGTGATACACTGGATAGCATCAGAGAGAACTTTGGACATGGTGGCCTAAGAAATGCAGCTCATGGCCCAGATTCAGTTGCTTCAGCTGCTAAAGTAAGTTTCTGACTTTCTTGACTGAAGTTTATTTTAACTTTGTCTTTTAACAATTGGGTCAGGAATCTCATTTTTTTTTCCACACTTGAGTTTGGAACTAGTTTCCATATTCTTCATGGATCCTTGTTAGCATGGAAAAATAAACTGTCTGAAAAGAGAAATCTTATTTATGTCTGTCACAAAGAGGAACCTTGGGCACTTTGATCAGGAGGGCATGCCTGGTCATTTTTAATGTCTTCTGTACATCACAAACAATGAGTTGATTGCACAGTCTGCGTAGTCTACCTAGAGCCTACCACTGTTGGTCATAAAAAGGAAGAGATTAAACAATTAAATCCTTTTGTGCCCTCCTGTGTTTCGCTTATCTGTTCTCCTCCACAGTCCTCACTAGTCCTCTGCCTGCAGCCTACTTTGCTGTTACTGTTCAGAATGAAAAAATATGAAAACAGGCCACTCTGTAGGGCTTTGTGCTTTGAGAGGTAATATATTGAATATGGCTTTGAGGAGTTTGGTTCTGTTTTGCTTTGTTTGCAGTGTCTTTCCTTAGTGCTAAGAAAAAGCCCTGGAACTGGGTGATAGGTATTGCCAGCGTTTCTGTAGAATTAAGGAGATTATTTGTTTGCATTGCTGTGGGATAGACATGCTGATAAGTGATGGCAAGAATAAAGTTTATCTCGTGGTTGATTGGTATGTTGCTGTGGTGTTTTAGCTGTCGACCAGTGGGGAAAAGATAGCAGTTTTTGCTTCCTTCATCCTAGTCTTTCCTCTATTTAACTTGGAACAGCTGCAGTAATACAGCTGGAGAGAGATCTGCCTCAGAGTACCTAAAAGCTGCCACGCAGCGTATGGAAGAAAATGTACACAGAGATCATATGCCAGTGGTGAGGGCAGGGTTGATCAGCCTCCTCTTGTGGCTGACATTAGGCTGTGTGGTGTAGCAGGCTGACAGCAAAGCATGGGCAGTTTTCTGCTGGTCAGGGACTCATCTTGCTGATCTGCACTGTGCCTGAGCTGCTGGATCCTCTCGCAGTCCTCTGGTTTTGGCAAGAAGTCATATGCTGGACCTGAGGTACTTTCTCTTGTGGCAGAGTTGGTGAAGATGTTACAGAGTCAAAAAGAGTTCAGATAAAATTGATCTTTTCTGATGAAGGAGAATTATAGTCAGAAAAGTCTTTGAAGTTCTGATTAAATAGTTAGATGTGTTCAAATATAAGGGTGATGATAGTTTCTCTTTGTTCTTGTGTACTACCATGACAACTGTGCCAGCTTCTGAACCGAGAGTGTAGGAAAGAGCATCTATTAGCATAAAATCTTGATTAGGAGCATAAGTATGTTCTTTAGTTGAAGTTTGTTGTTCTTTTCACATTTCATTATTTTTGAAATGCTGTCTGAAAGGCCCTGTTCATCTGCAGCATTTTTATGGCACTGGGATTATTTTAGTGAACCTCTGTAGGTATGTGCATCTTTGTGATGTTGCTGATACCAATCTTCAATAAATCAACCAAAATTGTGAATTTAATGCCCTTGTGCCTATTTTAATTTAGTAGGCCCAACATTATATGGCTGTATAGCAGTTGCTATGGAAACTAGTTGGCTGTGCCTTGCAGAAGCTTTTCTGAAAAGAAAGGAATATAAGATAAAGGGACCTAAATGAACTCTTCTGACAGAAAACTGAAGTCCCAAACACATTTAACGAATGTATTATAAGCTGAACAGTTAAACTGGAAGGCTGCATTGTTCTTTTGGGGGCTAAGTGACAAGTGAAATTATGTCTCTGATACACTCTAAGCTGCTGTCTCTCTGCAAACCAAATTTTGTAATTTCTTTAAATCAGGAATAAAGGGAAAGCAAAAGAATTTTTTTTTTTTTAAGGCTCTACATCGTTATAGTTTGGCTTTTCATTATGCCAGTCCTTCAGCATTATTAAGTTAATTTCCTTTTATGTATTTTAATGGATAAAACTAAGTGTTGAATAGTATACATATTTTGCTGCCTTTTCCTGGCCACTACTTTTAGACTAAACAGAAGTTAACAGAGTGGGACAAGGTCTTTGAAACATGCAGCATTTTATCAGTATAAGAATGTAGGCAATGAACCCTTTTGTCTCAGATGTGCCCACTCACCATCAGATGTGGATTATTTTCTAGCAGAAAAACAAAAACCATTTTTCCTTCTATGGAAAGATCCATTAGTTTGAATTGTATAATTGTTTGAGTAAGGATTACAGAAATTGTCGAAGTGCTGTGAGCTGAAGACTGGGAGATAGGTAAGTCTATTCCATTTGAATTGAGCTAGTAAATTAAATGAGACTTTTCCAGGAAATGACCTTTAGCATTGCTACTGTTATAAAGGAAAAAATCAGATAGATTTGGTAGTAGTATTTCCTGGATGTAATTTTTTTCCCTTAAATAGAAATTTATCAATTCTCTTACTGAATTTGACCAATAGGTCTGAAATGGAATCTGTGTTTTGCAGATTTGTTAATTTGCAGATTGTGTAACATATGGGAATAAATGGTATGGAAAAAGTGTGAAGCTGGCAGTGAACAGTGAAAAAATATCACTGAGGAAAGAAACCTGACTGTCAAGCTCACCCTAGTATGGTCTAAGGCCCAAAGCTATATGATAATTAGTGATGGTGGGAAGAAAAGAAGGGATCAGAGGCACAAAGGTTCTTTTGCTTTATCCCAGAAATCAAAGCAATTGAGTTCATCAGCTGCAATTCAGTAAGATTCAAAAAAAAAAAAATTATAAGGT